AAAAAGTTAGAAAAGATCAGTACAATAATGAGGAGAAGGAGGCGAACCCATTGTATCTTTACATCATTGACTGCGGACAAAGGACAGGACAAGAAATACATATAAAAACAAGTGACAAGGACAACATTCATCATTTAGTACGACAACGTTTTTAGATAATCTTATTATCTATTAAATTCTGAACCAATATTTTCTATTTATATTCATTTCCATTGAGACTCTAAGAATGTCTTCGAAAACATCTGTCGCACTTGAAACAGAAAACATTATGGGATCTGTATCCAGAAATGGCACCGTATAAAACTGGCATGTTATAAATATCTGAAACTCATACTGTATACTATGACGAAGTTGAAGATTGTTTGGATACACCGATCGTATTTTTGCACTAGGTACTAGCTGGTGGCTCAAAAACACACGATCGACAATTTTTTGATCCACAATCGTATAGAATTATTTTATTTGATCAACATTACATGCTTGTGTAGCAGAAAATACAACATGGGATTTTGTTGATGACATAGAAAAATTATGTAAACATTTAAATATTGAGAAATGAATTGCATTTGATGGTAGTTGCGGATTAACATTGAATTTATCTTACGCTGAAATACATTCCGATCGTGTTAAAACTTTAATATTACGTGGTATATTTTGTTGTCGTCGTAAAGAATTATTATAGTTTTATCAACGAGGGGCCCTAGTGATATTTCTTGATGCATGGGAAAAATATTTATAATCGATACTCAATGCTGAACATGGTGATTTAATGTCAGCATATCATCGTCGTTAACACCTTTTATGGGGTTTATAGTTACAAGGCATTGAGTTGGGGCAAATCGTATCAAACGTGACGATGTTTGTTTTGTGAAGAAATAACGTGAACACGATGAAAACCTTGGCATAGAATGAAATACTCACGTTTATCACATGCCGGTAAATAGCTAATGGACTCCATGTGCCTGTAAACAACTTGATTTAACCTTCTATCACCTCTCCAAACATGACTAATGTTATAAACCAAGCCATTATTCTTCCGCAATGCAAAATGGTAAGTGTATGATCCACCGGCGTTAGACGCTTCAAACGTAATACTATTATTACCATACACCAGATACTTATTAATGGAAACATAGCCAGTATCTCGACCACCAAACTCCAAGCGCAGAACAGTTTTAGAATTAACCCGAACCGATCCCCGGTCATCGACATTCCATATACGAGCTTCCCACTCATCAACAGAACATTCTACGAAAGAAAAACAAACGGATCAATTTCCTCTAATCCTATACCGCCACGCGCAATGAAACTTTTCAAATTTTCTTTTAGACTCGGACCGATTTTATTACCTAAAAATTTCTATGGGTGTATAGTCACAGGCCATTGAGTTAGGACAAATCGTATCTTTCGTGACCAGCGAGCCCATTTGTCTAATAGGTGTGAAAAATATATCAAAGACATATGACATCCCTCTAAAATCTCGAAAACATTTTGAGGTCTTTTCGACGATACCACCAGAAAGCCCTAACTTTTTACTAGATGTTCCATCGAAAAGTTCAAGGTTCGCTATTCGTTTATATAGGAAAAAGTTTAGAGTTACTCGGTCGTCCAAACGCAAATATCGAGATTTGGCGTTGTATGATGTCGATGTTTCCGTTTTTTAACTCGATTTACGCTAACCCTACTGATGGGTCCTTCGTTTAAAACGGGCTCCAGTTTATGCGAACAAACTTGTGTATACCGTGGTACGGACTCCACTGTAACACCCTTTTAACAATTCAGAAACGGCTGCCTCCCAGACAACCTCGTCAAGGAGTTTACCTTTAACACAGAGTAAGTTGTTTTATTTTATTAACATTGCAGGGATTATCAAATGAACAACAAGCCGCATTTGATGTGCAGATAGCTATACATTCCTATTGTAAAGTTGTTGAAAAACGCATGATTGATCAAATATCACAATTATGTTTTTATCATTTAATAACAAAATGTTCATCAATAACTGATACAAAACTGAGTACAACCTATTCATCGATCGATTTATATCAAATAATGGCTGAACCTTACGAACAAAAAGAAAAACGAGAAAAATTAGAGTCAAGTATTCGAAATTATGAAGCAGAATTGAACGAGCGCTCGTTATGTCCTCTTTGGAAAAGAGGACTAA